CTCTGGTCAAACCTTACCTCCGCTCAGTACAGAACCACAACAACAAACCCGTCAACGAAGCACTCAACAACCTCTTCATCACAGAGGAGGACTATCAGGTGAGTTCGACTGACGTCACACTGTGATTTCTGTTTTATTTTTGTAAAGTTCAACTCTTAAGCTCCACTTGCCGCCGCTCGTTTCAGGCTCTGAGGACGTCGATAGATGCCTACGACAACTTCGACAACATCTCGCTGGCCCAGCGCCTGGAGAAACACGAGCTGATTGAGTTCAGAAGAATCGCCGCCTACCTCTTCAAAGGCAACAACCGTTGGAAGCAGAGCGTGGAGCTGTGCAAGAAGGACAAGCTCTACAAGGTGCTGCTCCTACTCGCTTTATTCCTGGAATTACTTTTAGGCGACCTTTGCACTGATCGTTGAGAAATTATTTTGGAGAAAGAGATATGGGCTCCTTTAAAAAAAAAGGCAGCTGGAATATTAGTCAGTACAAATAAACTTTCCACGTCGTCTCTCTAGGACGCCATGCAGTACGCATCAGAGTCCAAAGATGTGGAGCTGGCAGAGGAGCTGCTGTCCTGGTTCCTGCAGGAAAACAAGAGGGAGTGTTTCGCCGCCTGCCTTTTCTCCTGCTACGACCTGCTGCGGCCCGACGTGGTGCTGGAGACCGCCTGGAGGCACAACATCATGGACTTTTCTATGCCGTACTTCATTCAGGTCATGAGGGAGTACCTCTCCAAGGTATGAGGGAAGACCTGTGCATTCATCAGAGCACCAAAACACAGCAGTTTAAAAAAAATTTTAAAAAAAGATTCACCAATCGGATCAGGTGCTCAGAGTTGGGACAGTTTAACTTTGATGCACTCCAATGTTCGTAGGTCAAGATCAAATTTTATTTTTCAATTTCTAAAATGCATTAAGATGGGAAAAAAACTCCCAGGTGTTTTTTTTTTGTGGCTAAATTTTATTTGATTGAGATTTGCTAAATATGTCAAAAGGTCAGCATTACCATAAACAAAATCAGAAAATCCTGATTGGTGCATCTCTTAGGGAAAAACAAAAAACACCCTTTTAACATGTCAGAACTACTGTCTCTAAATGAAAGGTGATGCTTAATCTTGATCTCCTGTGCCGCACTTTTCCCCTCCCAGGTTGAAGCGGTTAAGGAAAAGGTGAAAGCTGAACCCGGTTTTTGCTCGGGAGACTGCAGCCCTTAGTGTGCATGGTTTTAGCTTTAACATGTTGCATCATCACCAGGGTTAGTCACTGCAGTGCTTTAAGAAAGGCTTCAGTCTCAGGAGAAAACCTGAGCTGTAAGAAAAAAGAGCAGGACACAATTCTGCTCAGCTGAGTGAAGTTTTGTTGAGAATGAACTTTAACAGTTTAACTATTTGGTGTAGTTTTTAACTCTAGAAAGCCTAAAAAATGTCAGTTTTGATTCGGGTAAAAACATTTGGGAGGTTTTAACGCGGGCCTACTGCTATCTAGGACGCATGTCTTGTTGGAACGGCAGTAGACGGGGAGGAAGCACCTGGACAGCTGGCCTCACCACACTGCAGCTTTAATATGACCAGCAGTGTGTCTCACCCAGCATGCGGCTGCCTCAAATGACAGCCAGCGTCTGCTGCAGGCATGGACAACCTGAATGTGGACATGTTTAGTGCATCGTCTTGCTTGTGCCGCTGCTCGTCCTCTCGGGACACGTTTTGCTTTTTGCTGCATCTGACTTGCTGCTTGAAGATTTATTTTGTCTTCCTGACAATTTTTTTTTTTCTTTCCTGCGTGTGTCAGGCAGTTTGGAAAATATTCTGATCATGTTGTGGTGGTTGGACATCCGTACTTGGTGTTTCGTCCACCAGAAAAGGAGACTGGCACAGACTCTCTGAAGCTTTGCTGCTAAAGTTGAACAAAAATGCATGAGTTGAGGCTCCATTTCACCAAGAGTTTGAACTGTTATGCATCAATTTATTTTCTTTGTTACATTAAGTAATGATGGGAAAACTGCTTACACTCTGCCATATTTCTGCAGGGTTTGAATTATGAAGACAAAAGTTTGTAGGTCTGAATATTTTAAGCAGTCAATTGAGTCGTAACGTAATAAAGGTTACACTTTGTCTACATGAATGTTAAAATCCAACATTATGATCTTAACACCAAATCAGAGGAATCTGAGAACTGACCTAAAAATTGTGTGAAAGCCTGGCAGACAATACAAAACATGAGGAAAATATCTCAAATATTTGCTATGTATATACTCATTTTCCCATTTCTAGCATGTCAAAGTAATTTTATGTTTTTTTGTATAAATATGCAAAGCATTCAGACTTGGCACTACATATTTATTTCTCTGCCATGCAGGTCGACAAGCTTGAAACCTCAGAATCCCTAAGAAAAGAGGAGGAGCAGGCAACAGAGACGCAACCCATCGTCTACGGTAACGGTGCCTCACCCAGGATTTTCAATTGAAATTCAGACTTGAAAGAAAGCCCACTGTGTTTTAGTTCAGAAATATTAAGACACTAAAATTCAGAGGTGCATGAGCAGGCATCATAATTTAAACCTAGCTTCATTTGTCTTTATTGTTACTGGTGTATATAACGCCTGGCTGCCTGCCAAGCTTATAATACTGAGAAACCCTTAAATTTAACCTTATAAAACAAGTTGGGAGTAAAAAAAAAAAAAAACTAGTATCTCAACTGGTGTATAATAAAACTGTTTAGATAAGATTTTTTTTTTTTTTTTTTCCTATTTCCCAGGAACACCTCAGCTGATGTTGACAGCAGGCCCCAGCGTCCCCGTGGCCCCACAGCAAGCTTACGGCTACGGCTACCAGGCCCCTGCAGGCTACGCCCAGCCAGCAGCTCAGCCAGGCTTCGGCTACGGCATGTGAAGACCCCGCCTCCTGTCTGTCCACATCCAGGCTCCATCCATCTCCCAACAGTCCTTCACCAACACCTTTATCATCGCCTCTCTGGCCTCCACTAGGAGCGGGGAGATGATACTGACAAACTATTACTTCTTGTTTGTTTTTTTGCTTTTTTTTTACTTTTCCTTTGTTTGAAACTGTCATGAAGGACTCAGTTTTCTTTTCTTTTTTTCTTTCAGTTTGTCAAAAAGATTAAATCAGATTAATTGTCTCACATTCCGTATTTACTAGATTAATTTTGTTTTATTTGAATGGGGACATGGTTAATGTACAATGGGTGGGGCTTGTGAGGAGAGCCAGTTCTCTTCTCTCAGATTTACGGTCTGTCGTGAAGCATCTGATTTTGCACTCTATATAGTGAGAAGATAATGTAGAACCTTTTTCCTGTCCTCGTGTGAGCATCTTCGTTTGTGTCCGACTGTACAATGCGTTGAATTGTAGTATATCCAGACACCAAAACCTGCTTCTGTTTTGTTTCTTTTTCTCGCAACATCAGACTGCTGCTTTCATGACTATAATCCTGAAAAACACTACGTTTTACTGGTCCCCCATGCTCCCTCTTCAGGGCTGTTTGGTTGAAGAAAATCTAAGACTTATTTTACATACGATGTACAGGAAAGTTTGATTCTTTCCAGCAAAAGCCTATGCAGAAGTCTCTAAACTCAGAAAACATTTCCATGTGCTTTACACACTGCTTCAACACGGGACCACTCTGCCTCAGGAGGGACTGCAGACCTGTGTGTGTGTGACCAACATGCCCCTGTCCTACTCTGGTTTGCATCAGTTTGGTCACTGTTGTCAATTGTGCAGACCTTTTTTGTTGTTTTTTTTTTTGCTCCATACTTTGTTCTTGTGTCCCGTTTTGGGGTTGCGTTTAATGTTTTCAGTTGACCTACTCATCCAAATCTGAAACGATGTCAAAACGTGTGAGCAGGGGGGGGGGAGGGTTGACATTTTTACTAAAGGCTTGCTTGTATACAGAAAAATCAATCATTAACTCCTTATATTCTTATCTAAATTACCTTAGATTTAAATTGTGCACTTACGATACTTGATTGTGCATAATCAGGATCATAATGAATGAAACAGCGGTTTTGTTTCCACTTAAAAAAATAAAGGCTTTGTTTGTCAAGAATGGCATCCTGGTTTCTTTAGTTTTTCTAACCAGTGTGTTTTCCTTTATAGCTAATATTTGGTGGTCTGATTCCAACAATGTGCTCTTGAACCCAAACTAGGGATTATGTGTGAATTTCAAATACAGATTCTGGAAACCTAAAAATCACTTGTGCATTGTTGAGCTACTGGAAACTTTAGTTCAGTACTTTATTCAAGGCTTGCAAGAAGGAAATCAACCTCCTGTATTCGGGAAGTCCATGTTGCTTTGATGGCTGTTAGTGGGTTTGTTTTTGTTTCTTTTTTGAGTACACTAGGTTCTCTTGAAGGTTCTGGTCAAACTATTATGGTGGCCAATAGAGGACTTTATTGTGGTCACTCAAACAGTATTAGGTGTCAAGTCATGCTGGAAAATCAGAATTTGCATTGCAAATAAGCAGGAAGTGCTCCGAAATGTCTGCATAAAAAGCAGTTTTCATCTCTAAGACATTCTTAAAAATCAACACTTTATGTGCATCACTGCTTAGTAAGTTTAACTTGTGAAATTAATAAATGACACTAATCCGAGGTTTGCGCACAAAACTTTCTCCATCTAACTATAAAAATCTAAATGTATGGATCTGGTGCCCTCTGCTGGTACATGGGGGAGGGAACGTGCTGGAAGTCAAAAATGGTTGTCATCTTAATCTCAAAGCTTTGATTTCATGTCAGTGTAGGCAAAAACTAAAAAAAAATCTGACAAATAAATTATCTGAAAAGATTTCTGGAACATTTTTTTATGGAAATTTTTTGCAATTAGTTCATGGAAACCTGAGAAACTGATGAGACCAGTGTTTGTTTCTATATTAAAAGCAGTTCCACAAAAAAAAACACACTAAGCCAATCCAGCACTCAGGATACCAGTGCACCTCATGTCTGCACTGATATCAGAACTGGATCGGTGCAACTTTAGCGAGACAAATGACTGTATGTTGAGCCCATTATTTTGTTTATTTAACAAACATCTGGAATCACATCTTGTTGTAGAAACGACTTCACCGTCTCCGTTCAGAATGGCAACATTTCAGTAGAGCTTCAAGTCTCCGGTGACGCTGTCCACCAGCTCGGCCGGACCGGGACCGATCCCCAGCACGGTGCGAGAGCCGGGCGCGATTTGAGTCCTTCCTGCGTCCTGGATGAGGCTGACGGTGAGTCCCACCTGCCTGGCTCGGCCCATCAGGTTTATCAGGGTGTCCTCGTCTGGCGCCTTCACCACCACCTTCGGCTGGCCGCAGTACTCCCACTGCCTGAGCAGCTCGGGGCTCCTGCGTTGGACCTGCTTGTAAGCGCTTACTGCGGCGTGGGAGCACTGCGCCGCCACCTTCCCTTTGCCCATCTTCAGGTCATTCCGGACCACCAGCACCATCTTGAACTCCCCGCCGTCTCCCATCACGCTGGCCTCCCCGGAGCCTTTCCCCGCCGACTTCATCAGGCTCTTGGACGCAGGGCCGAGGCGCGTCCGCAGGTGCCAGCCGAGGAAGAGTCCGCAGCCCAGACAGGCGGCAACGCCCAGGGGACCGTGGAGCGCATCCATGTTCAGCCTGTTGACAGTTACAGAAAACTTACAACACGCTCAGGTTGACGTCGCAGGCAGCTTTTGATCCAGCTGCAACTTCAGCAAGGAGACGGGAGCATCAGGACCGGACATCAACGCTGCCCAAAACAACCAAAAAGTGTCCCCAAAGGGTTCTGGGTCAACCCAGAACCCTGGGCAAGTCTCCTGTAAATAAAATCAATCCTTCATTTATCTGATAAAAGTTTCAAATGCTTCGATTCTACTTCCCATCACTCCAGACATCCAATGTTCCTGCATACCTTAATAAACACGTATAAAGAAACACATGCACTACATTTAAATATGTTAAAAAGGGGGGTGACACCAACGAAGAAGAAGCTGGTAGCTAAATAACACTAGAGCTGGTCCAGGTCATAAACTGTAACAGAAACTAAACAGCTGATGTAAACACTGCTAGCCCATCATGCCTGAAGGTGAATTGTGGGTTTATTATTTCCACATGCAGATTCTTGTTAATGAATGGGGTTCAAAACAGTTAGCCGATTTACAGTCTCTTCGATTCACTTCATCTCAGATTTGACAACACAGAGCAGCACTCTTTTTAAGGATTGGACTGGTCCACGAACGAACAGGCGGTTCCTGATCTGGAGCCTGAAAGACAGGCTGTCTGTTTCTGGAGAGGCTGTCCGTTTCAGGCTCCAGAAACAGACAGCTAACCAGTTGTTAGCTAACTGGTGAGTTCCACCAGTTAGCTAACAAGGTACGTACACCGGGACGCCTCTGGCCTCCGATCGTATTTCCTAAGATTTAAAGCGTTCAGTGTGAGCTGAACTTATTTACATGGACAGTGATTCATACCTGCGACTCTATGAGCGGCACTGAGAGCGTGGAGGAAGTTTCATCGCGCGAATTCTTCTTCTTCTTCGTTTTGTTCTTCTTCTGGAGTTTAACGGCAGCTGACGTCCCGTGACGTCGCAATGTCGCCCCCTTCTGCTCAACCTGTGCACTCCGGTCTCGCAACACGTCACGAAACCACTGGCTCAAGTGTCTTGACGCCAATGTTGCATTCAAAGGCGGCTCGGCAAAAAAAAACCACAACAAAACACTTGACTACATTTTAGCAACTGATTCACCACAAACTAATTTTCATCCATTGACTGCACAAAGTACATGTGATTATTTTCAATTATTTGCTCTTTTCTGCTGCAGCATTTAGATTCCTGTCTTTTTATGTTGAAACAATTTGTATGTGTATTTGTATATGGATTTCAGAAAGAAATAGAAGTGTAACATTTTTTTCTTAAGATTAAAAGTTTTGAGTTTTCCTTATTTTTATTAGTCACCAAACTCCCCACATCCGTCTCAGTTGTGGAGCCCATGAGCAAGGCACCAAACCTGACTTGCCCGCTGTTAGTCAGACGTCCGATGGGGCCGATTGTGTAGCAGCTTCTATCAAGCTGCCCTAGGGTAGCTGTGGCTGCAATGTCGCCAACATGTGAAGCACTTTGACATCCACTGCACTAGATAAATCGCTGGACACAGATTTACCATTGACTATACACTCTTGCATTTTGTCTTTTTTTATTAAACTTGTCTTGTCTGGCAGTGCTGCTCTCAGCATTGTCAAGTTACCAAAGTTAAGCCCTAAAGACTTGTGTGAGAGCCATAAATAGGTAATATTTAAGTTATTTGTACAATGGTTTGTTTTTTATTTTATCATATGTAGTTAAGAAGACTGACATTTGATCAGATCATTTTTATTGTGAAATTTAGTTTCATTTTGGAAGGCTTACTTCCTGTCGGGCCATCTATTGTATTAGGACAACTACAGACAGATTTCTTGGACACAACATTACCTATAGATACGGCGACGCAACTTTGTATGAAAAGTGTCATTATTTACCGAATGACACGTCATGACAACAATCTCAGACATTCATAAAGACTCCTTCACCTTTATGACAGTGTCATGTCAGTCTTATGCACACCCAGTCAAATAAAGTGTTACTAGTTTGGTTTTCATAAAACCAAAGATACCATTTCTCTCCCAGAGCTTCTGGGTTAGTGATCCTCTGCAGTCTGAAAGGTTGCTTTGAGGTTTTACCTCATTTTGGTCGGTAAAAATAGTGAATGCAATTGCCAAGCTTTATTTGCCCCCTGACCCCTCCAGGCTGAGCATTGCTCTTTCGTGTTTTTAGAAAAAGCTGGGAGCCTGGGCCAATCACACCACTGGCAATTGGTAAACGATAGACATCAAATATGTACATTTGAAGTCTATTGTTTTCTATTTTTAATAAATTAGAAATAGAAAAGAAAACCACATTGTCATAATAGGCTATTTGTGTGTAAAATTTTGAGAAAGAATGTTAATACAATTTGAATTAAGGTTTCTTTTTTCAGGATTCAAGAGCGTCAAACAGATAACATCTGTGTTGTAGCCGCAGCACAAGCCGAACATCAGACGAAGGCCACAAGGCAGGAGGCACTTAAAGAGGGACAAACCAGTGTCAGGTTTCAAGAAAAAGCAGAAGAAGGGAGGAGGGGCCGAACCCAGCAAGAGCAAGAGACCAGACTTTTGAGCAAACTGTGGGAAAAGTGAGGGTGTTTAAGAATCTCACTAAGAAAAGTGGATATAGTATTACGCTATTCACACAATTATTTTACAAGCTTTATTTTTGAGGATTATTTTTATTAGTCACCAACTACAGTGCTTTTAGTTAATCAACCTAAAAATGTAGTGAACCTCAAAAATATGGATGTTGAAGAAAGTAAAAGTGAGTGTTTGGCTTTCTCTAAAAAACACATTAGGCAACTCTTATTGTGCAGAATTTTTTATCCAACTAAATGAAAAAAAAAACTAAATTTAATTAATTTAGAAATTACTGCCAGTAATAATTAAATTGTTTTCCACACCCGAAGCTACTCAGTGGTTTTTCTAAAAGCATTTAATGGTACGAGTCCTGGAATGTGTATCTCACATTCTCTGTGTGCATCAATCTTCCACCACCACATAAAGCACCAAGACGACAGAAACTGTCATTTTTATTATGGTTTTATTTCAACACATTTCTTTTTGTCCATTCCCATGGCTTGTACCACGTCTGTGGATCAAAAAACAGGAGTAACAACGTAGCTCACTTCTCCGTAGGGCTCCAGAAACTCAAACGCTACCATCCACAAGTTGCAGTTCGAGTCAGAAACGTTGCAGCTGGACACCAGGAGAACTAAAATGACTACAAAAAGGATGAAGAAGAGAATCATGTATGCCACTGCCATGACTCCTCTCTTCAGGATCCGAACACCGAACTCCAGCCAGCTGAACGGACTAAAAAATATACATTAAAATTAATCATTTTAATTAGATTTGGGGAGTGTTTTTTTTTTCTATATTGTGGGATGCAAGTACCATTCTCTTGAGGTTACAGCGATCAAGTCATCCTTGTAGTCATCTTCTTCCTGCAAAGACAACAGCAGATTGCAGCACTGGCTTCACAAAACATACTGATTTAATTCAAAAAATATGTCATTGATCCCAAAGGGAAATTAAATGCAAATTATTCAGATTTTGTAGATGCTGATGGCTGTGGGTAGGAAGGACCTCCCCTAGCAGTCTGTGTTACGGTGAATTTGAAGAAGCCTCTGATTTAAGATGCAACTTATTTTTCCCTTGACGGCCGTGAAGAGGACAACGACAATCTTCAATAGTTGCTAAAATGCTCGTCAAATTATGATGTGGGAAACCATAGGGAAATTATGAAGTGGAACTCATCTAAAAAAAAAAATCCAATTATCCCAAAAATTCCAGATTAGGACTAAGAGCTTTGTCAATTTCTTTTTTTTTTTCAATTGACTTCCACTGATGAAGAGCTGTAAAACCTGTACAAATCTAACTACAACTGTTCTAATTCTCAGGTAAATATTTATTTATTTGTTTTCTATTTTTAATAGTTATCACAGTTATCACTTGCAGTACTAAAGTACAAGAAGGAATTATAGAAACCCACTAATAAGAGGTTTTTACAGTTTCAGTGTGAAACATGGTTATGATTTTAAACGGCCATTCGAGAGAAATAATCTCATGTTGACGTAGATTTGTAGTTGTATATTTTCTTTACCACTGAATGCAGGACCTCTGTGCCTGGTTCATATTTCACCACCGTCCTGTAAAAAGCAAAGAAAAACAGGACGGAAGACGAGACGAACTCAGCCGATTTTAGGATGCAAAGCTTTGGAAGCTCGTTCTGCGGTTCTGTCACCATGAGGTGACGAGTCGGTACTCACAGGATCTGTTCCTCCTGCATGTCTTTCAGATTCTTCTCCAGGAGGCGAATTTCATCTCTGAGCTCCTGCAGAGAGATCGGACGTCGACACATCGCGGGGATGGAGCGTTTCGAGATTCTGTCACACAACTGTAATTCTCATAGATACCTCAATGATGCCGACATATCTGTCGATCTTCTTTTTCTTGTCACACTCCATCTCAGACAGCTGACGGAGAGACGTTCCGATTAAAGCTTTCCTTAAATCACCTTGGTCATGTTAAAAGTGGATCTAATTGACTTTTCATAACCAGAATCATTCGCTGCAGTTTTCTTACTCTCTCTATTTGGGCGTCTTTGTTATGTAGGGCTGCCAGGATCCTCTGGTTTTCCTTTATTATTCAGTGAAACAAAGAACAAAAGTGATTCATCCAAGAGGCAAAATGATGTAAGATGATTTGATATGAAGAAAAAGTTCACCTTGATTATATTCTCAGCTGTTTCCTCCTGATGGTTCTTTGAAAGCTCTTCCAGCTGAAGCATATATATATATATATATATATATATATATATATATATATATATATATATATATATATATATATATATATATATATATATATATATATATATATATATATATATATATATATATATATTTTAACAAATACCTATTGACTACAGAGAATTTGAACAGTTTTATAGGTCGTTTTATTAATGCCTTCTGTTTTCAAATGAGCTGAAATAGTAAACGATCGAATTTGGCACAAATAATAGATCTAACATTTTTATATTTGCTGTTTGAGAATGAGGACACTGTTCAATTTGATTTGACGGTTTCCACATAGATGAATTGTTTTAAATGGCTTAATATGTAAGTTTTAAATGAATTGTGTCGGTAAAAGTTCACAAAATAACCTCTCCTGCATGGTTATTGTTGAAATGGCAGCTTTATTATTATTATTATTATCTAGGCACGCAGTGCCATTTCATAGCAAGTAACTGTTACCTTCAGTTATAAAATACTACATTTAAATGCAGTTAAGAAAAATGTAGCGCCTTAAAATCTTTAAAACCTCCTGCTCTTTCTGAAACTCCGCCTTTCCGGAGTCATAATGTCACTCCTCTATTAACTCTTTAATAATACTTTTGCCAGTGTTTCGCGGGGTATGATGAGATCAACAGAGTTCCACCAGGTGATTGCTAATTACTGCTGGCTAGTCTAGAGGAGCTAAGCCTTGGGTCAGCCCGGGTTACGGGTTTATCTGAAAGTTGTTGGGGGGTTCTCTGCAGTCTATAATGCTGTGTTAGAGTTTACCAAGCCCTTAGCAGATGTCAGTTTCTCTAGACACTTTGTTTGTGAGAAATCTTCCTGTACCTCCACAGCTAGCAGTTGATTTTCCTCCTTCATCTTCTGCAGATAATCTTCCTACACAGAACAAAGTCACACAACCGGCATGGATACAAGTAAATCTGCCAGAACTGTAATTGACACATTTCAGGTTTATCACTTACCATTTCTCTAATCTTAACTTTTTTCTCTTCTAAATCTCTCTGACGCATGAGTTCTTTATTCTTTTCTATTGATAGCTTCTCATTTTCTGTCTGTTCTCTTAACCTGAAAACAATAAACTTTTGATACTTTGTCTTTTAGTTGTTTTTGTTTTTTTGCACTTGCTGTAACATCAATTGCCCATTTGGGATACAAAT